CCCCAAAACCCCAAAACCCCAAAACCCCAAAACCCCATCTGCAATTAACGACTTAACGTAAATATTAAAATAAAATTTATCAAAATGAATAAAATCCAGAGACAAGGCTCATTTGACACTACAACAATGGTGTCTGTAAAATCAAATACAAAATTTTTCAAAGCTGTGAAAGAAGAAGGGTTCTCAGGACAGCATTTAAGTATGCCTGTGGGAGCATTTGGTGGAATTAATGTCAACCATATGCCTCTGAACCAAATTCCTTTCAGACTGACCCAGCACCCTCATGTTCCGTTCACAATCTCAGCCAGTGAGAGTGCCCTCTACCATGAGTTCAATACAAAGGAACGTGAAAGGATGAAAAAGGAGAAGATCGAAAAAGGGCTTCGTGAAACACAGAAAAGAGTTAATAATAAAGTTTTCCAACAGAAAGAAACCAAGGCTTATAAGCTTGGCCTTTTAGAGAAGAAGATTAGAGACATTCTCAAGAAGGCAGTCAAATTCTCACTCGAAACCAACATGCTTGAAAGATCCAGTCTTGATAATACTAGGAAAACTGAGTCAGATAAGAAAAGTGAAGGAGTCAAAGGTAAATTTTTGCGTTAATTTTATTCTAACAGGAATATAGACGAGAGTCATAAAATTTTCTATTTCAATAATTCCACACCAGAGCCAGCAAGAGATACAGACGTAGATTTTTCAGAGCTCAAAGGAGCATTGAAAGATAGACAAAAGAAGGCACAAATTGTCAAGATTTTGGATAAAATTATTGAGGAAAGAGAGAAAAGTGCTCCAAAAGAGGAAGTCAAGAGTATTGCCACTCCTGATTTTAACTACAATATGCTGCAGAGACAGGCAACTCTCTATGGAATCCCTCCAAGAGATTTTGAAGCATACATTCCTCTGCTGACAGCTCTGCATTTAGAGAATTACGATAGGAACGAGTTTGATAAGTTCAATATGATTGAGAGTCTCAAGGTTCTCAGAAAATTCGGTAAGGTTCCTCAGTTATTCATCACAGGCCAAGACAAGCTTGAAAGAATCCTGACATATGGACTTGTAAATGAAGTTATGAAAGTAGAAGAACGCAAAGCGATCAGAAGACACAACAAAGGTAAATCCTCAGTGTCATCCTGTAGAAAAGGAAGAAATAGAGCGTGAAGAAAGAAGGATCAAAGAGGCTCAAGAGAAAATCCAAGCCAAATTCCTAAGATCATTTAGTCCATTTGTCAGAATTGAAAACTGAGATTCCCACGCTGATAGGAAGGAGGAGACTAAGGAAGAGGAATATGAGCCTCCTCACGATCAATCAGGAGTTGAAGAGAACACTCAGAATGAGACTAATAATCCTATCAAGAAATGGGATTCTGCTACAATCGGGAAGGGAATCAAAATGTCAACAACAAGGTAAGGCTCAGATCAATAATATGTAGCAAATAAGGTCCAATTTACTGATCCAAATGAGAAAGTAGAAAAACCTCCTGCTCAAGAGAGCAGATATGCTACTTTCAAACCCCTCGCAGCTACTCAAGATAACTTTGATGATGAGGAGATGCTAGATATTCCTCTTGAAGATGCTCTAGCTAAAATAGAGAAGTATCAGGGCTATATTGACAAAATAAACGAATCTAAGAGAAAAGTCTACAGAGATCCTAATATGACTGAAGTTTCTAAGAAACTGAGATGAAAGCCATATAATGCCAAAATCAAGGGATATAGGAACGAGATGAAGCCATATTTAAGAGTCAGGGCTAAACACCTTGGAATCTTGGATAAAATCCCAATGAACAGTGCTCTATACCCAGTAGCTGTTAACTGCCAGTTTGCTAAAAGATGCAAAGAGGCAACAGATAAGATTATTGAAGAAGAAAGAGATGAAGTCGATAAATTTTTACAAGAATCATAAAAATTTTACAACTATTTGGAAAATTTTAATTGGTATTAGGGTTATTACAATCTGTCTTTTCTTACTGGAAAAGAACGCTTATACTTTCTAATTCCTCAGGCTCCTTATTTTTATCTTGGCCCGAGTCATACAGTGAGCCTTCATTCTTGAGATCTTGTTCAATGTTAGCAAAGGAATCTTGGTCTTCTCCTTCAGCTTCTTCATCTGGATCGATATCATTAACTTGGTCTTCTTCTGACTTATCTTCCTCGTTTGTAATCAAGTAGACCATGATCTCTTCTCCTCCTGAGTTGAGCATAATCTGGTACTTATTTATTCTCCGCTGTTTGTATTCCTCTCTCTTTGTGTAAATTCAGATCTTTTGGTCCTTTAGTATTTATTTTATCTTTCTCTTCTTCCCTTGCATTTGGATCCTTGACTTCCTTCTCTCCAATCTCTGGGATTTCTAGTTTGGTGCCTGGCGGAGCTCTAATTGCTAGCAGAGTGTTGTTCTTATCTTTGTTTATATTATTTAATATCGTCATAAGTAACATATGCGAACTGCTCATAGAGCTCGTCATTAGCCATCTCTAGTAGCTGATTATTAACAGTGCTGATCATAGTATCAAGCCATTGCTCCTCTCGTTGGTATTCCTCAAGCTCGAGATTCAGCCTTTCAATTTCCTTCTCTTGGTCTTTCTGTTTTTCTAGTTCAGCCTCTTCATTGATATATTGGATGTCTTCTTCACCGAAGTTATCAAGACGCATGGCGCTATTCCATCTAATTTTGTTCTTACTATATTTCTCGATGAGGCCTATCCCTTCCAGTACATTTGTGATGTCGTAGATTCTTCTATTTCTGAACACCTAGTTCTTCGACCGCCTCATTGAGGTCGATGCAGTAATCTTCAGTTTGTTTTATAAGCTGGATAAATTTCTTTGTGAGTTCACCAAGAGAGTTTTCCTGCCTTGGCTTCATTACTGGCCTATTATTTCTTTGACGATCACTTCTGTGGCTCGTCCTGGTCCTTGTCCGGGTCTCGTAATCCCTGGTAATTCCTTGTTTCTCTTCAGTCTCTTCAGAAACTTTAGTAAATTTCTTACCTGTTTTAAGATTTTTAAACTTTGGGGAAGAATTAGTTCTATCAGGTTGTTCTCTATCAATTTCCTCGAATTCTTCGTATAAAGTTCTCTTAATATTCTTGCCTTTGCTCATTTGTCAAGTTCAAATATTTTATATATGCAATTTATTCATAAAATTGAGGGGTTTTGGGGTTTTGGGGTTTTGGGGTTTTGGGGTTTTGGGG